AAATAAAGAGTGATGCTACTGTGACTAGGAATTTTGACAGGATTTGGTGGCAAACAACACTTGTCACCAAATCATTGGAAGATGAATTTTTTAAACAAAAAACAGGTGAATAAAAACTCGTCACGTCAGCGTTGTCTCCAAACCCTGGATGCAATCCCTGTCAGAGTAGCTTTATTCAGAGACCATATGCCAACAAGCTGTGAAACTGAAATCTCTATGAAATATATAGCCAATGTTAAGTTTTGTTTAAAAAAATTACATTTTTAATAGATTGTGAAATATGTGATTAAAAAGTTCATAAAAATGTGAATCCTGTGGAATACGTGGTTAAACTAATTGTTAACGTAAAGGCTATAAACACGCATTGAAGTAGGTGTGTGAGTTGAGCTGCACAACTGCCCACCAACTGGCTAATTAATTGGTGGCATTTTTTTATTATACTTTTTGGAAATTTTGAAATTTGACTCTTTTTTTTTTTTACCCCAAATATAATGAAAACGTAAATTTATAGGGAATGTTTGATTTTGTCAAAAGAATTATAAACACTCCCATTTTTTATTTGGCTTGTGATGTCTATAACATATGTTGGTGAAGCTAAAATTGTAATGAATTAATATTTCGTTTAAAATATTTTGTTCAAAAAATGAAATAAATATGATTTAATAACGAACAAAGAAAATTAAATACCAGAAAGTCATCTTCATCTTCTTGAAGCCACTAAAGATATAAACATGTGTTTCTATTCGAGTTGTAATATTGCTTAAGCCACGTGATGCATCTCAGTCTAATAAATAATTTTTCGTAAGACCTTACGTATGTAAGTGTTGATAAAGTCGCAAGTGTTGTAAACAAGTCTTGGATTGTAGTAGAATTTTGGATTAAACTATTTGTACACTTCTCTTGATAAATTGATGATGTGGAAGTGTTATAATAGTTGAATTAAACGTGTGAGATGTGAAACGTGATGTGAGTTGTGCCAAATGTAAATTCGATAAGCTAGAAATGTCAATCAAAATGTACATGTAACAAGATTAGTTTGATAGACCAGTGGTGGAACCCATCCATGAAGGTGATACAGAGGTGCCAACATAATCGAGATGTCTCGGTGCACTTCCTACTCCCGACCTATACCAAGTTTATTAAAAAAAAAAAATCTTCTAATTTGTTTTAAGGCTTTGCAACAAGTACATCAGGGTGTACATAAGAGTGTCCATAATGGACATCAGACATCTCCTTATTGCATGGAGTACCAGTGGGGCTGGCACTCCATCCAATAGGAGGGTGCCGGGTGTCCATTATGGACACCCTTATGTACACCCCAATGTACAAGAAGAATAATCATTTGTTTTATGATTCTTTTGTAGTGTCAAATTTCCGTATGGTTATTGTAATAGGGTATTTGCTTCTCTATCTTTTGATAACTTGTTTTGGACAAGTGTTGTTCAGTTTTTTGTTGTCATATAGGAAAATCTTATTTTTCAATGAAAATCCCCAATTCTGGTAGTTATCATTTTTCAAACTAAAGTTTTATACACACGCAGTATATATACACAGAAACTATCAAACAGCTCTTTGACAAAAGTTTTACCAACAAATCAATTCCAAGATCAAATTAATCAAGTATGCAGGTTGTACCAAAAGGATTGTTACTTTAAATCATACATATACCACAAGCCCGCCAAAATATTGTCACATTTGAGCAATATTCTAATTTTTATTCTTTTAAATAAAAAAACCCAATAATTATGAATTTCGATTCTTTAGGTCCAATCAATAGGAAATTATCCAATTGTTGTCCCACTCGACATGATTCTATGATTTTCGAGAAATTTAATGGAATTTTCAATATATTGATTGTGCAGTTCTCTAAATATTGCACTCGTTTTTTTTTGGCTTTTTCTCGAATTTTCTTTCCTTCTTTTTCAATCATTGCCAATTTTATTGAGTCGGAGACCGAATATCTTGTATATGATCCATCTTCATCGTTTCTTGGTATTTCAATGCCGACCTGCTTGTCAGCAATAACCCTAGAATTCAGACATTGGTCTAAAGAAAAGGTAAGGCTTTGTGACCAAAAATCAGTCCCTCTATTATAGAACTCCAACCACAATGAGTCAAGCATGCACCCACGGAGTCATGACTCAATATCTTCAACTGAGGTGCCCAACTCTTCCACACGATACCCCTTCCTTTAATTCTCTCGTCAAACCCGTCTGGTAAAACTACTGAGTAGGACTCTCCCGATCTAGCCGGCATTCTCAGTGCCAAAAAGAAGAGTACACCGGATAATTCCAATCCAAGAGCTAACTCATTTAGTTGATCTCGGCTGGGGATCAACTCAGTCCCTAATGCTATGTAAACTACTGTCCCTTTATTTTGATTATCGAGCCATGTTTTGATTGAAACCCACGATTCTTTGTCGTCTCGTTCTTTCACTTGGGGTGGCAATAACCCTACTGGAATCACAGGCTTATTATGAAGTTCTTCTAGTATTTTCATCCAGAGAGATTCAAACTCAAGGCAGTGTCTTAGAAAAATGACCTCGGATCCATCAATGACCTTACCGATACGGTAAAAATCTGAAAATCCTCAATCATTCTTTTGACTTGAACCGACAATTCAGTCTGCTTCGTACTGTCGATAAGCAACTTTCGTCTCAAATCCAACCCACTTCGGTGGGATCACATAATCTTCTGCTTTAGTCCTTTCATCTGAGCCGTTAATCATGGACGATCCAAGGAAAGCCAAAAACCATGCATTGAAGACGAAAAAAAGTCACGAGAAATTCCAAACCTAGCTGCAACGAGGCAATCAGTGTGGAGCGAAATCGTAGATAATCCAGTCTGGAAGTGAATTTTCCAAGAAACGAGTCAGCTCAGTTTCCATCCCATCAAATGCTTTCTTCAGATAGGCCATATCTTCATTTCCGATATCCGTTGTTGCCTCTGCAGATTCAGGAAGTTGTTCAACTTCAGGCAATGGAATCTTAACTAGGGTTATGGAAGAAACTAAATGGGAAGGAACTTTTGAAAGGCGATCAATAATTCTTGGAGTGGAAAGAAACGAGATTTTGTGACCCTTTTCAGCTATGAATTTGGTGGGCTCAAAGAATGGGAATATATGCCCGAAAGCTAGCCATGGGAACATCACCAGATGCAATTCAGTTGGTTTGTCCATGGAATTGGAATCCATTGTTTAATGCTTTTTCACTGGTTTGAAACAGTACAGCGTGTTGGTGAATGGCACTCAACTGAGTTATTCCCAATTTATAGGATAATTTGCCATTTGCGTGTTACAGTCAAAGGTTTCGTGATTTTCCGTATATTTTCCATTTAAAGCAAGATTATTAGATAGAATTCAACAATAAGTAATAGAAAAAATAAGATATGAATCATGACTACTGTGACAAATTCGATAAAATTTTGTTCATTTTCATCATCAACTGAACCACGACTAGAGTTCTGACGAATTCGATACTCGTACGGTACATGGAAACAAAAATGAATATTGCAAGAAGACACATCATGATACATGATTGTCATGCCTTTTGTGCACATCAAAACTTAACCAATAAAAAATTTTACCACCTTAGAATAATTACAATTACAGCAACGTGAACTTTGGTCATTGGCTCCCCAATCATCACGTCACCAACTGCCTTAAACTTTCGGCACTGTTGGACAGAGTTTTCACAATACATGATCTTAAGATTTTGCAGAGACCTATCATTTTTTAAACATTCTCCACAACTTGACCACGGCGACCTTTATGAGAGGGCACAACCCCTTCTCCCAAAGTTTAGGGGCTATTTTGAGAGAGAGTTGGTTCGTGTCCTCATGTAAACAACACTATTTCTAGAAAAAGTTGGAATCGAAACACTGTGAAAAATGTCATTTAAAAATTATATATTTTTTTAATGAAATAGTTCTTTTAAAAAATTTATGTAAATTGAAACTGTAGTTACTAGCTAATTTTTGTTTAATTTGAGAAGGAAGATTTGTGCAGCTAAAAATCGTGCTGCAGTTTTCTGATCAATTTATTTCATTCAATCTAATTGAAATGTAAAGGTTCAAAACATATATATGTAGTAGCCAATGATAGGTGGACACATGTCCTAACAGAAATTAACTAACAGAAGGAATAAAAAAACATATGAAGGAAAGAGAAAATGGAATAAAGAATAATTTTTCATCCCCCCCTCAAGCTGGAACGTGGTGAATATCTGCCAAACCCAGCTTGGAGAGAAGAAATTGAAATTGAGGAAACGGTAAAGCCTTTGTAAAAACATCTGCAAGTTGCTGAGAAGAGGAAACATGTTGAGGAGAAACAAAACCTTCTTTGAACTTATCCCTCACAATGTGACAATCAATTTCCAAATGCTTGGTACGCTCATGAAATACCGGATTTGCTGTAATGTGAAGAGCAGCCTTATTATCACACCATAAAGGAACGGGTAAAGGCAGGGTGATTTTAAAATCTGCAAGAATGTAGCTAATCCATTGAAGCTCACAAACCGTAGCAGCCAAACTCCTATATTCTGCTTCTGCTGTGGATCTAGAGATTGTACTCTGCTTTTTTGTCTTCCAAGAGATTAAGGCAGGGCCTAAGAATATGTAAAAACCAGTAAGAGATCGACGAGTATCAGCACAGGACGCCCAATCCGCATCAGAATAGGCCGTCAGAGAAAATTCTTGCTGAACAGGAAAGAAGAGACCTTTAGAAGGGCAACCTTTTAAGTACTTTAGCAAATGCATCGCGGTTTCCCAGTGAATCTGATAAGGAGAGTTAACAAACTGGCTCAATTGATGTATCCCATAAGTGAGGTCTGGCCTTGTAAGATTCAAGTATAAA